TATCTAATCAATCAAATTGTAATTTATGCTAAATACTAAATAATAATTTAAATATGCTTTTCTCCAATCACTTTCAGAAGTTAAAAGAACTAATATGATACAAAATTCTCCCTCCCTCCCCTCTCTCTCTTGACCTGTATTTCATGTAAAATTATATCTAAGGATATGTCCCATAGTACCGATAATTGAAACAACCAAGACCTCTGTGTCTTTTGTTGCTGCTTAGAGCTATCCGATCTGAGCTGCACAAATCCCAACAACCACTAAAGGCAGCAAAGAATTTATGAAGGTGATTATACCAAGTTGAACCAGACCAACCAAATATTACCAGGCTACTGTAGAAATCCCAGAGATGTTTTTTTCATACTTAATAATCTATGCTAAGTATCACAGTACTTTTCACAGAAAAAAACAAAAAAAAAACTTTTGTGAGCATCTTGATGGGCAAGACAAAATTAAGTTTCTAAAACTGTAGTGCTTTTAAATATGTTTTTTCTTTAAATAAAAAAAAAACCTTTAACTATTTCCAAGCATTCAGCAACATACTGATATTTAGAGGCCTTTGTTTCCAAAGTTACTGCTGTGAGGGAGTTTGGGAGGAAACTGTAGAGTTGTTGTAACAGGTTAATTTATGATAATGCTATTGCTTCTGTTTTTATGGACATATTCAGCTGATATGTGCATTTCAATGACAATAACTTTAAAAGATAAAACAGATGTTTGACCCATTTTTTTAAGTAGAAGGATTATGGTAAGGAGCAAGGATTTTGGAAATTAAGGAAAAGGATAAAAATCAATGAAAGAATCAAGGACAATTCTAATCAATGAAAGATAATATTCTATGTAAATTTGGGGGTAAATTAAATGCTAGGATCAACAAATAAAAGTTATAATGAAGTAGACATTAAACCTTTTATAAACTAAAAAAATAGGTAACATTAAACATTTGGAAGATTATCAAAGAAGAATTGTGGTTCTTTTCTGACACTTACCAATACCAGTATACATAAAATACATAGGCCAATATAAATCAATCATCCTAACGTACTATGTAATCTAAGATGTTCTTGGTTTCCTCCGAAACCACTGCTATATAAAATCCCTGATTTAAAAGTGGGGAAAATCTTACTACTTGTACACATGCATATGTATTCACTAACAGTTCACTTGGATGGAATTTATTTCTACATATATATGTAAGCATCAGTATTAATGTTTCAATGTTTTAATCAAATGATATTTTCCTGACTCAAATCAAATCTAAAATAGCAGTAAAGTTTAAGGTAATCATTGCTGCAATTCTGTATTCTCTTATTTGACAGGCAAGCCTATTCATTTCAATAGGGCTTATTTCTGAATAGCTAAGATTTCACTGCCTATGGATTAATAATTAGAGATCTGTTCCAAGAAGTCTTCTAAATTCTTGAATTCTGGGCAAAAGTTCTGCAGTATAAAATCACCACCATGGACATAAAATAACAATCAGTATGACTCGAAAGATAAAAAAAAATTGTACCTGTGATAGTGATAGTTCCCACCATTTTTTCTGTTTGATGATAATTAAGGGTTTTTTTCCTCCAAAGCAAGGAATTCCTTTATTTCTGTTTCTCCAACTGAGATAGTTATTGAAGAGAGGGAGAGACAGTGAACGCGCCCAAGAGAAGCAGAGTTAAAAGAAACACCCTGTGTCTTTCACAGTCTGATGAAAAAGGCAGACTGAAGTTGTGTTTCAGTAGGCTAATCTTTGATGGACAGCTCTTTGTGGTCCAGCCACTCCTTAATTGCTCACTGGGGAAGAGAACGTGTATCTTTTAAGATTAACAATGAAATCTCCACCCTTTGCTCATCCCTAATTGTTACAAGAAGTTTGGGGCTGCAGATTAGCAGAACTCGTTTAAATAAAAAATTATATAAAGTGCTGCTTCTATATATTTACAATATGCTTTCAGAGCAAAAGCTGAGACATTATCCAAAGGCACTTTTCTGTTACAAATCACACACACGCACACAGAGATATACACCAAGGACATTATACCAACATATTGTTTCTTTTAGCAACCTTATTCTCAAGATTATACCTCGAGTCCATTCCCTCCAAATTTGGCATCCTCCAGCATTGGTCAAAGATAATGAGAGCAATAGTAAAACATATTTGGAGGGTACTAGATAGAGAAAGGTGATTTAAAATATACTTCTATTTTAAATTATTTTACTGAAGTAATTTTTGACTTGAATAAGTAGAGAGTATTATATTAATTTATTTTACAATATTCTTCTAAAGACTACTGCAGACAGAAACATATACATTTTAAAACAAATTTTACATTGGATAGATCAACAAAGCACTTTAAAACACATTTTGTGGCATTTTCTGTAATAAACTAGTCTTCTCATTAAAAGTATGGTAGTTGACAGAGATACTTCACTGAAGGAAGAAACTTTTTACTTATACTCCTATTCCATCTCCCTGCTGCACTCCTTTTGGTGAGTTGCTTCCTGGTGTGAACAAACCAGAGTTTGCCAGTATATCTAAACAGACAAATTATGGTGATATTGATATCCTTAGAACTAGGCTCATCAATGACTGATATGTATCTGTACTTTAATAAAGCCCTCCAGAAGTCAAATGCATGTCAGGAAAAGCAAGGAAGACACATTCTTGTTGTATCCTGAGACTATCCAGAAAAATAGCTTTTATCTTCTGCTCCAACTAGCAAACTAAAAGTGTGATGGAAAACATATGCATCCCAGTGGTTAAACAGATAAATGACCACCTTATCTCAAGATAAATTAGGCGGTATCTTTTACCCTCTCCACCACAATGCTAGAGAGTTGGCTCTTGTACTAATTGGTAAGGGCTGTCTTGCACTGCCATGATACAGCTACCCAAGAATGCCTGCCTTTTATAGGAAAGCTGCCAGCCACTAAGTTTATGCTGAAAACCTTATCCTTCATTGAACTGACAATATACCACCACATCCCAAGAATGAGTAACTTAAAGGAGGTGCTTTTTTGGAGATCTGCATGGTACGTGAAACATTAAACATGTGATTTGGTATTAAAAAACAAATGCACCGTTGCTGAAATCTATTATCTAAATTTCAGTTCTGGTTTTCCACACTGAGTACTTAAAATAAGTAATGACAATAAAACATTGCATTATAATATAAAAATATTCCCATTACTGCTTTGACCTGGAGGAACAAACCAAGTTAATGCATATTATTAACATCTTACAGGATGAGGCAGAGGTGGTTCAACTCGCACCCACTCGGTATTCAGTTTACATGATTTGCTCCTCATCTCAAACATGTACCTCAAATTTGGCTCAATCTGCAAACTTAATCTTATGAACCATGGTCTGGACTGCAGGGAACAGTTCCCTTCTAAATTACAGTGAAATTGGTACCTTTATAAACTAGAAGGAAACTAGCAGGTATATCTAGCTGGGAAAAGGACCTCAGCTGAAGAAAAATGGGATGCCTCCAACAGTTTGTTCTATAACTTGCTGTGTTCAGCAACTATTAGTAACAGGGAATTAAATGTGACCCAAGGATGACCTTTCCAAGTAAGATTATGTAGGCTACCCCCTCAACTTTTCCAATTTGCATCACTTATTGTTCGGTCTTAGTAAAACAATGGCAGGTGTAGCAAAAGGCTATCTGAATAAGATAACGTCAGAACCACGAACTTGTTCTGGGCCCTTTCTTTTGTTAATCAAAGCATATGTTTTTCAATAACACATCCTCTCTTCAATGGAACATCTTCTGTTAACCAGAAGTCTGGAAAACTTTTGGCCACTCTTGTTCAGGGCAAGAAGAGAGCCATTAATCATTAATCCACTCACCCAACCCAACCCCTTTCCCCCCATTTTTATCTCTTTCAGGATCTTTTTTGCCAGTCTTGACCATCTTTTCTATTCCCCCATGTTTCCATAAGACTATCTGAATTAATAATACTTTTGCTTTAGGACAGAAATTTCTTATGAAATGAAAAGGAAAACCCCATGCACCACTCTTTCCTCTTCTCCTCTTTCCATCTCCATCTCCAGTTGAAGTCACTCAGGATAACTGCGGAGAGGTCAGCCCAACCCAGCCCAGCCTTTCCCCCCTCATATTAGAAAGAAATATATTTGAACCAGTTGAAGCCAGACCACTACCACCATCCTGATTGGACTTGGGTCCAGCCACTGTGATCCTTAAACAGGCAAATCTGTTGGAATCCTTGACTAAGTTGAACTTGTAGCAGACCTCAGGGAGGCTTCTGGGGTCTTAGAGGATCTGAACCAAACCCTTCCAGTGCATTGCCTTCAGGAACTTTCCTGGGTCCCTGAAGTAGCCCAGCTCAGTTGGGTTTAAAACCTGATAGAGGTTTCAGAAAGTCAAGGATCACACCAAGCAATGCCATCCAAAGTGCACTGGTAAAGTGGTTATTTAGGAACCCCTCTGTCTTCCTTTGGTTATACCTATTGGGGGATCCATCCAACACTAACTTTCATGGAACAAAATTCTGTGCAGAAACTGCAAAGGGAATTCTATCTGCCCCATCTCACTTTCCTCTCCAGAAATATTTTTTTCAGAAACACTCTAATTTATTCTTCAGTCTTAAACAAAACAATGTCTGTGCAAAAGGTGTTGTCTCTTAGCGCATGTATGTGGGTGTGTAAATGCTACAGCATGTACATTTCTCAATTTCTTTCCTAATTTGCTATGTCACAAAACCTCTGTAATCTTGGCTTTCTTGGTTGTGCAAAACTATGTTTCTCCTGCCTTCTGCTATAGTTGAACGCTGTAGAGTGAATCACTTCTTGAAATTTCCTCATTTCCCCACCATTTTCTGACCTCCTGCCTCCTCTTTCTCACAATGAATTGGAAGTTCTACTCTCTGAGCACCTTGCCTTTCTCTCATTGAATTGACTAACGTGGTAAATTCTCACAGATTATTTGTTTGTTTTGTACTTTAGCTTTATTCTTTGCATTATATTCCTCATAATTAATTATTTTATTACCTTTATGCCATTAGTCTCAGATATCGGTTAATAAATTGTATTGATTGGTTATTAATTAAAGTTTTATTTTGGGGCTTTTCAACATAGTATAAAAGTCCCAACAAAATAGGTAATGTGGGAAATCCTAGTTCATAATACCAGCAATAAGTATGAGTGGTTACAGGATTGCAATTACTCACTTTTGAGTGTCCTCCTTCTATCCACTATATTGGACTGGATTCTGGGAAACACTAAGCCTATTATTAGTATATAACCATCTGACTGAGTTCCTGGAGATTCATCTCAAGCTCAGTATTGAAGAACTGAAATTAACCTACCACAAGATTTAATATTCATATTCATGGTAATGTCACCTTGCTTAGTATGACTCAAGATTTTATTATCTCTTGTATAACAATAAAGTTGTCATAGATTACTTCAGAAACATGTTTTTTCCCCCAAAAAAGTAACTAGACAACAAAATTGAAAAACTCAATAAATTGTTGAAGATGAAGTTGGGAGACAAGCCATAAAACACCATTAAAAACAGCCAAGAGCAATTAAGTCAGAGTCCAAAACAGATTCTGGAAATTGTCCAGGGATCGAACATCAAAGAGCTAAGAGGAGCCTGGCAACAAGATCAGAGGCCAATTCACAGGTATTGTTTCAGCACTGACTGCTGATATTGATGGTTTTTAAAGCCAAAACTCCTGGTATCTAGATCTTGGTTGCTGCCAATTAAAATTATCTAGAGATAATTCTTCCTTGTAAATTGAATCCAACTTCCAAGTAAGCTTTTACTTGGCTTTTTCCTAGGACCATTTCTAGGTCTCTCTCTCAGTGGACAGTTTTGATGTTGATCCTGAACATATACCTACCTCTACATCCTGGGGTTGGGGAATAGTTCAAATTAATCTGGATCAACTGAAGAACCCTTGCCCACAGGATGACTGAGTCTGAGAACTGGGTTTTGTAAACATCCCCTGAAAATCAGAGTCTTAAAAGGGCCTGAGTTGGGAGTTGTGCAATGGGAAAGGAGACCACTAAGGATCAGATGAAGAACTATCCAAAGGCACAAATCTATGCATGACTATTAGAAGGAAGTATTAGACTGCAACCCAAATCGACACTGCCAAGCTATTTTTGTTTCCTGCACCATCATTCCAGCCAAGTTATTTGAAGTTGTGAATAATTCTTATATCCAACAAGAAACTCCTGCCAAAAATTCATGTATTCGTTTCTTTTTCATGGTACTTGTTTAGATTTCCTTGTAGACACAGACAGAGATCCTGGCATAATGAAAACCTCTCTCTGCATTCTATGGATATTTTCTTATTTTAGCTGCTTAACAGTAATTGTGCCCAGCATGGTAGGCTGTTAAAAACAATACAAACACTGCATGTACTAGGATCATAGTTTTCTTTGTTCACTTTTTAAAAAGTGTTCTGATTTTCTTCATAAAAGTTTCTGGTTTAAGTAAGAATTATTTAATTTTTCAATATTACTATTTTTCTTTGTGACCCCTTCATGGATCACTGCCTTGTCGTGGCGAAGGGGCTTGCGTAACTCAGTGAA